CCTTGCAGCTGTAAACACGTCAGATTTGTTTTCAGAAGCTGAAATCATTAATATAAATTTGTCTTGAGCAAATCTAAGTAATTTCATAACTGATACACCCTTAAAAGCTTTTAACTTTTTGATGTATTGGTTTTGTGCATCCAATTAAGTGTGTTATAGTCATTTGAATAACAAAAACATATCGTCTGATGTCGATTACGTTTTAGATTAATTTTAGAGATATAGTTTGAAGACGCTTCACGATCAGTATATTTCTTTACACACGTGTGCCACGCCACCGGTCATAAAAATTCAATTTATCATAACTCGGTCAATTTTTCAAATATCTAGCTGAAGTTTGGTACAAATAGGTGTATCATAGTCATATGAATAACACACAGGGGCTCGGTTTCGGGATACTTTCGGTTAGTTATAAACCTATACACACCAATAAATAACAGCAACACTTTTTTATCCGGTGTTTATACACATTCTAAAACCTTATACAAAATTAGGGTACTGAGGTTTTTATTTATACCCTCAATTTTTATAAGGTTTTCGAATGTGTATAAACACCGGATTCGAGAAAAAATGTTGCTGTTATTTACTGGTGTGTATAGGTTTATTACTAACCGAAAGTATCCGGAAAATACTAACCGAAAGTATCCTGAAACCAAGCCCCTGTAGAATAACATTTTCTGATGTCGCTTACTTTATAGGTTAATTTTAGAGGTAATATTTGAAGACGCTTCAGGATCTCTACAGCTCTACTCACACATGCGTGGCACCAAAATTTGGTAAAAATATGCTCAGTCGTTTATGACAAGTAGCATTTTTTAGGAAAAGTTGCCGGACGCCGCGCCATGGCATAAGCTCACTTGCTCTTCGGGCAGGTGAGCTAAAAACGTAAACGTTTACTATACGGAACTGGGGTTTGGTTCCCAGTTCCGTTTAAGTAAAAACGTAACTGAGTTTGAATCTCAGTTCCGTATCAGACCAATTACTTTATAGAGGCTATGGTGGTCTTAATTTTCGTGTGAAAGGTTGTGGGTTCGATTCCTGTCCTTGATTCAGATATAAATACGGGCCTTTGACCTTCCGTTTTGCGAAGCGGACGGGGAAAGAATTACAAAAAACGTAAACGTTTACTATACGAAACTGGGGTCTGGTTCCCAGTTCCGTTTAAGGAAAAACGTAACTGGAGTCTGACACTGATTCCTGTCCTTGATTCAGATATAACTACGGGCCTTTGACCTTTCGTTTTGCGAAGTAGACCGGGAAAGAATTACAAAAAACGTAAACGTTTACTATACGGAACTGGGGTCTGACACTCAGTTCCGTATAAGACCAATTACTTTATAGAGGCTATGGTAGTCATAATTTTCCTGTGAAATGTTGTGGATTTGAGTTCCCAGTCGATTATAAGAGTCTGGCTATGATGTTTTTCTGAAACAGACCTAGTATTTTGGTCGAAGTTCGAATTATAGTGTTATTTCAAATTTAAACGGAACAAGTGTCTGGTTCCCAGTTCCGTTTATGTTAAATGGAACTAGGGTCTGGTTCCCAGTTCCGTTTATGTTAAACGGAACTAGGGTCTGGTTCCTAGTTCCGTTTACCTTAAACGGAACTAGGGTCTGGTTCCTAGTTCCGTTTATCTTAAACGTTACTAGGAACTAGGAACTAGGAACCAACTTCAGGCTCCCTTCAACATACATGAATCATCTAAAAAATCTCAATATAGATCCAGTGAAACCTAACCGTAGCAAGTAAGCAGAAGTGTTACAGTGTATTAAAACGTATATATCCTGTGGTACACCCGACCCTCATATATTCTCCGCCCGACCCTCATATATCCTCCGTACACTCAAGGTCAGTGCAATCTGTATGCAGGTTTGACGTATTAAGTGTAGCTGAAACTATCGCTGATCGGGTTTTAGTCTGTGCTGATATTCACAAAATAATAATAATCTATATCTTATATAGGAATTTGTTAAAAACGAACATGTCTCATTAAAATAGTAATATCTCCTCGGTGTCATGTCATTTATCATCATTATTTTAGTATCATTATTATTATCATTCATTTATATGTTATATATTATGCAAGCACAACAACTAACGTTTTTTGGGCACGTGGACAAGATATTTCAAATATCTTATATAATGTCATTAGATACCTGTTTTACAAATGTATGTAAGTATAAATATACCAGACATCTGTATGTAATATACCCATTTCCAAGACATCAGTATATAAAATATTCCGTTTACCAGATATCTGTATGTATGATACCCGTTTACCAGACATCTGTATGTAATATACCACTTTCCCAGACATCTTTATGTATATATGTTATTCCGTTTACCAGACATCTGTATGTAATACACCACTTTCCCAGACATCTTTATGTATGTTTTTCCGTTTACCAGACATCTGTATGTAATATACCACTTTCCCAGACATCTTTATGTAAAATATTCCGTTTTTACAAATATCTGTATGTAATATACCCGTTTAACAGATATCTGTATATCTGTTTACAGTACAAGGTGGAGGGTAGGAATGTACAGTACACGGTGGAGGGTAGGTGTGTACAGAACATGGTGGAGGGTAGGAATTACAGTACATGGTGGAGGGTAGGAATGTACAGTACATGTTTGAGGGTAGGAATTTACAGTACATGGTGGAGGGTAGGAATTTACAGTACACGGTGGAGGGTAGGAATGTACAGTACCTGGTGGAGGGTAGGAATGTACAGTACATGTTTGAGGGTAGGAATGTACAGTACACGGTGGAGGGTAGGAATGTACAGTACATGGTGGAGGGTAGGAATGTACAGTACATGGTGGAGGGTAGGAATGTACAGTACACGGTGGAGGGTAGGAATGTACAGTACACGGTGGAGGGTAGGAATGTACAGTACACGGTGGAGGGTAGGAATGTACAGTACACGGTGGAGGGTAGGAATGTACAGTACACGGTGGAGGGTAGGAATGTACAGTACACGGTGGAGGGTAGGAATGTACAGTACACGGTGGAGGGTAGGAATGTACAGTACACGGTGGAGGGTAGGAATGTACAGTACACGGTGGAGGGTAGGAATGTACAGTACACGGTGGAGGGTAGGAATGTACAGTACACGGTGGAGGGTAGGAATGTACAGTACACGGTGGAGGGTAGGAATGTACAGTACACGGTGGAGGGTAGGAATGTACAGTACACGGTGGAGGGTAGGAATGTACAGTACACGGTGGAGGGTAGGAATGTACAGTACACGGTGGAGGGTAGGAATGTACAGTACACGGTGGAGGGTAGGAATGTACAGTACACGGTGGAGGGTAGGAATGTACAGTACACGGTGGAGGGTAGGAATGTACAGTACACGGTGGAGGGTAGGAATGTACAGTACACGGTGGAGGGTAGGAATGTACAGTACACGGTGGAGGGTAGGAATGTACAGTACACGGTGGAGGGTAGGAATGTACAGTACACGGTGGAGGGTAGGAATGTACAGTACACGGTGGAGGGTAGGAATGTACAGTACACGGTGGAGGGTAGGAATGTACAGTACACGGTGGAGGGTAGGAATGTACAGTACACGGTGGAGGGTAGGAATGTACAGTACACGGTGGAGGGTAGGAATGTACAGTACACGGTGGAGGGTAGGAATGTACAGTACACGGTGGAGGGTAGGAATGTACAGTACACGGTGGAGGGTAGGAATGTACAGTACACGGTGGAGGGTAGGAATGTACAGTACACGGTGGAGGGTAGGAATGTACAGTACACGGTGGAGGGTAGGAATGTACAGTACACGGTGGAGGGTAGGAATGTACAGTACACGGTGGAGGGTAGGAATGTACAGTACACGGTGGAGGGTAGGAATGTACAGTACACGGTGGAGGGTAGGAATGTACAGTACACGGTGGAGGGTAGGAATGTACAGTACACGGTGGAGGGTAGGAATGTACAGTACACGGTGGAGGGTAGGAATGTACAGTACACGGTGGAGGGTAGGAATGTACAGTACACGGTGGAGGGTAGGAATGTACAGTACACGGTGGAGGGTAGGAATGTACAGTACACGGTGGAGGGTAGGAATGTACAGTACACGGTGGAGGGTAGGAATGTACAGTACACGGTGGAGGGTAGGAATGTACAGTACACGGTGGAGGGTAGGAATGTACAGTACACGGTGGAGGGTAGGAATGTACAGTACACGGTGGAGGGTAGGAATGTACAGTACACGGTGGAGGGTAGGAATGTACAGTACACGGTGGAGGGTAGGAATGTACAGTACACGGTGGAGGGTAGGAATGTACAGTACACGGTGGAGGGTAGGAATGTACAGTACAAGGTGGAGGGTAGGAATGTACAGTACACGGTGGAGGGTAGGAATTTACAGTACATGGTGGAAGGTAGGAATGTACAGTACATGGTGGAGGGTAGGAATGTACAGTACAAGGTGGAGGGTAGGAATGTACAGTACACGGTGGAGGGTAGGAATTTACAGTACATGGTGGAAGGTAGGAATGTACAGTACATGGTGGAGGGTAGGAATGTACAGTACAAGGTGGAGGGTAGGAATGTACAGTACACGGTGGAGGGTAGGAATGTACAGTACATGGTGGAGGGTAGGAATTTACAGTACATGGTGGAAGGTAGGAAGGAACAGTACATGGTGGATGGTAGGAATGTACAGTACATGGTGGAGTGTAGAAATGTACAGTACATTGTACATGTTGGAGAGTAAGAAGGAACAGTACATGGTGGAGGGTCGTAATTTTTACAGTACATGTTGGAGGGTTAAACGGTGGAGGGAAGGTACATGATGATGGGTAGAAATCTTCATTACAATGTGGAGGGAATGAATGTATAGTACATGGTGGAGGGTAGGAATGTACAGAGCATGATGGAGGGTAGGAATTTACAGTACATGGTGGAGGGTAGGAATGTACAGTACATGGTGGATGGTAGGAATGTACAGTACATGTTGAAGGGAAGAAATGTACATTACATTGTACATGGTGGAGGGTATGAAGGTATATTACATGGCGGAGGGAAAGAATGTATAGTACATGGTCCGAATGATTCTGACGTTTTATAGACTGTTTTTATATCGGTATGGCGCCGATTAAGTCGGAATAATTTGGACTAGAATGTACAGTACATGGTGGAGGGAAGGAATGTACATATCGGATGTTAGGACGGGACATGGTAGAATGTGTGAAGTGTGCACAAAAAGCAGTAATGTTCCTGACATAAAGGGGATACATGTATATAGAAGGGAGATACGAAAGTCTAAGCTATATCAGTTTATATATACATGTATATAGAAGGGAGATATAAAAGTCTAAGCTATATTAGTATATATATACATGTATATAGAAGGGAGATACGAAAGTCTAAGCTATTTCAGTTTATATATACATGTATATAGAAGGGAGATATAAAACTCTAAGCTATATTAGTATATATATAATATATACATGTATATAGAAGGTAGATATAAAAGTCTAAGCTATATTTGTATATATATGCATGTATATAGAAGGGAGATATAAAAGTCTACGCTATATTTGTATATATATACATGTAGATAGAAGGGAGATATAAAACTCTAAGCTATATTAGTATATATATACATGTATACAGAAGGGAGATAGAAAAGTCTAAGCTATATTTGTATATATATACATGTATATAGAAGGGAGATATAAAAGTCTAAGCTATATTAGTATATATATACATGTATATAGAAGGGAGATATAAAAGTCTAAGCTATATTAGTATATATATACATGTATATAGAAGGGAGATATAAAAGTCTAAGCTATATTAGTATATATATACATGTATATAGAAGGGAGATATAAAAGTCTAAGCTATATTAGTATATATATACATGTATATAGAAGGGAGATATAAAAGTCTAAGCTATATTAGTATATATATACATGTATATAGAAGGGAGATATAAAAGTCTAAGCTATATTAGTATATATATACATGTATATAGAAGGGAGATATAAAAGTCTAAGCTATATTAGTATATATATACATGTATATAGAAGGGAGATATAAAAGTCTAAGCTATATTAGTATATATATACATGTATATAGAAGGGAGATATAAAAGTCTAAGCTATATTAGTATATATATACATGTATATAGAAGGGAGATATAAAAGTCTAAGCTATATTAGTATATATATACATGTATATAGAAGGGAGATATAAAAGTCTAAGCTATATTAGTATATATATACATGTATATAGAAGGGAGATATAAAAGTCTAAGCTATATTAGTATATATATACATGTATATAGAAGGGAGATATAAAAGTCTAAGCTATATTAGTATATATATACATGTATATAGAAGGGAGATATAAAAGTCTAAGCTATATTAGTATATATATACATGTATATAGAAGGGAGATATAAAAGTCTAAGCTATATTAGCATATATATACATGTATATAGAAGGGAGATATAAAAGTCTAAGCTATATTAGTATATATATACATGTATGTCATATGGTAGAAATAAGGAATGATTAAAATGTAAAAATATTTATAGTATGTTTTAGAATTCTGACATTTAAAACTGTTAAAACTTTTTGTTTAAAAAAGGGTTTACGATATATTACGAATGTGAGTCGCTCTTTCGATTTGATGACATATAACTTTACATCTGAATCATCCTTATTTCTTACGAGGGATTCTTCTACTCAGTATTGTAAAATGAATCATCTCTATCAATATTCTAATTCTATCGTTAAAATGCAATTTTACGGCGAGTTTGTTTGGCTAACAAGTAACGTCAGGTTACTAGCTGAAGTTGATGTCATAAGTTTATCATGTAACAAGAGGAATAACTCCTACTAACACCAGGAACTCTTTTATTAGAGAAACGACTTCCGGCTACTTTCAATTTAACTTTGGCGGTAGATTATATGATGTCAGGTTTAGTGTCCTACTCTGACAGCGACGAGGAAAGATCAGAGGAAAAAACCGATAAAAACCCGGCCGATATAAGGGAAGGACGCAATGCCAAAAGGTGTGGGTCCCCAGAGATCAATACAATGACAAAGAGGTCGAAACAATGGTGTGTATAAATGTTTGTGCTATCCTTATGAACCTTTGAGTTTGATGTATTTTTAAGTAACCGAACTGGTATACAATAATTTTTCTTTCTTTTTTATTGGATCAATAATGTTTGAAAGTATTTATTTTGTTCCATTTTGATGCTTTTTATAAGGTCATAACTGGAAAAAATATGTATTAATTATTGAAGATCTACAAATAAAACTTATAGACAGATGCTCTACATTGATCTACTTGGTCATTGATGAACAATTCAGTTATGCTGCATTCGTCCCTCATTTTTAAGTCTTTGTCGGATTCACCCAGTACTTGAAACAAGGTACATGTGGTCCATAGGCACCACGTGCACTGTAACAGAAGAAGAAAATGCATGGTCAGACTGGGATTCACACTCTCTGAACGAACTTGATGGATGATCTACTCATTGAGCTAGCTACCTGCTGCTAGTACATGATCCAGTCTAGTTCTGCTACACTTATTAAACATAGTTGATAACTTTGTAAGTTTATATTTTCGAACTAAATTGTTTCTTAATGTTAAATTACCAGTACTTTTGTTTCCACAGTGTTTTGCCCCTCCCTGACACCATCAGGTCTTTGTTTGCTGAAAAGTCTCGCCCACATCAGGATGACCCTGAGAATCATGGTGGACGGATACGGTCATTTGAGCATGAGGAAGGAAGCTGGGCAACACATATACACATCCCATGTAAGATGTTGTATTGAGCCGTAACAAACCGGCAGCACGATTTACCCATAACAAACTGGCAGCACAATTTACCCATAACAAACCGATAGCACGATTTACCCATAACAAACTGGCAGCACGATTTACCCATAACAAACCGGAAGCACGATTTACCCATAACAAACTGGCAGCATGATTTACCCATAACAAACCGGCAGCATGATTTACCCATAACAAACCGGCAGCTCGATGTACCCAAAAACACCCCAAACCACCCTAAAACACCCAAATCAAAACAAAACACCCCAAAACACACTAAAACACACAAAAAAACACATTTTAAACACACAAAAACATTAAATATACATAGATATTTATATTTCTGCTACCTGACATTATGTAACATAATGATGTTTCCTGTTAATTGTATAGTTATAGTGACGCGAGTAATATTAACTATACATATTTGAGTTACTTCCCCTGCAAACAAGTTTACCGTTTGCCTAAATTATTCACAGAACGATATTTGTTATATAAAATGGTATTTTTCTCACTTTATCAACATTATTTGACATAGGTAGTCTTTGTTTATTTTATATTTGATAAGTGCATTTGCTCTAAAGAGGATATTGTTTGATGTGTTAAATCCGTACTTGTTTTTTTAAGGTTCTGATTATTTCAGTCTATTTTCGTTTGCAGAAAATTAGGTTACTACATTTTAATATTAACTGAATAATATTTAAGTGCCGTCTGTGTTTTTTTGTGGTCTTATTTAGATGTTTTTAGGTGGTTTGGGGGTATTTTTAGGTAAATCGTGCAATCCATAACAAACATATATGCTTTTCTGTTGTTAGGATTATGTTTTGTATTTGATAACTGTTCTGTCTATTACAGGTGACCATGACCCACAATTTGATAACTGTTCTGTCTATTACAGATGACCATGACCCACAATTTGATAACTTAGTCAGAGAATTATTGTTATGTCTACGTCCACTGGACTTCAAGCCAATGGAAAGTTTCCATGTCAGTCTGTCTCGGACTGTGAGTTTACGTCACCACTGGATCCAGTCCCTCACTGACTCACTCCAGGCCAAGGCACGAAACCTACACAAGTAAGATTTCCTGACCATAATTAATAGAGTTATTCCCCTTGGTCTCATTAATGCAATACTACATGCATTCTATGATGTTTTATTGCAAACATTGATCTACCAGGTACATTGAATTATTTCTCCTTTAACATCAATTCCTGACAAATATTTCATATATTTTAACAATTCAAACAACTGCTAATTCAATGTGTGATGGGCGTATTATTTACGGTTTTGCAGTAACCCTGTTTAAACTGATTTGTCCGTAGTTATGCACTTATAATTGTTTGCATGAATCTAAAAATTCATAGTCAAATTTAAACTTAATTTTATGCAAAATGAAAACTTGTGTTAACATTTAAGAAATCTGCAGTACAACGTATTGACCAAAAATAACAAAATAATAATAGAAAAAAACGTCATGATGTTATAGAGACATGACAATTTGTATTCGGATAAGTAGCATTAACTGTGAGTGAGATTGTCCCTGATTCACATGTCTGTTGTCATTACCAGGTGTTACCGTGAGATGTAACATTAACTGTGGGTGATATTGTCCCTGATTCACATGTCTGTTGTCGTTACCAGGTGTTACTGTGAGATGTAACATTAACTATGGGTGATATTGCCCCTTAATTAACATGTCTGTTGTCGTTACCAGTGGTACTGTGAGATGTAGCATTAACTGTGGGTGATATTGTCCCTGATTCACATGTCTGTTGTCGTTACCAGGGGTTACTGTGAGATGTAACATTAAATGTGGGTGATATTGTCCCTTAATTAACGTGTCTGTTGTCGTTACCAGGTGTTACTGTGAGATGTAGCATTAACTGTGTGTGATGTTGTCCCTTAATTAACATGTTGGTTGTTGTTACCAGGTGTTACTGTGAGATGTAACATTAACTGTGGGTGAGATTGTCCCTTAATTAACATGTTGGTTATTGTTACCAGGTGTTACTGTGAGATGTAACTTTAACTATGGGTGATATTGTCCCTTAATTAACATGTCTGTTGTCCTTACCAGGTGTTACTGTGAGATGTAGCATTAACTGTGGGTGATGTTGTCCCTTAATTAACATGTCTGTTGTCATTACCAGGTGTTACTGTGAGATGTAACATTACCTATGGGTGATATTGTCCCTTAATTAACATGTTTGTTGTTGTTCCCAGGTGTTTCTGTGAGATGTAACATTAACTGTGGGTGATAGTGTGTGATGTTGTCCCTTAATTAACATGTCTGTTGTCATTACCAGGTGTTACTGTGAGATGTAACAATAACTGTGTGTGAGATTGTCCCTTAATTAACGTGTCTGTTGGCGTTACCAGGTGTTACTGGGAGATGTAACATTAAATGTGGGTGATATTGTCCCTTAATTAACATGTTGGTTATTGTTACTAGGTGTTACTGTGAGATGTAACATTAACTGTGGGTGATAGTGTGTGATGTTGTCCCTTAATTAACATGTCTGTTGTCCTTACCAGGTGTTACTGTGAGATGTAGCATTAACTGTGGGTGATGTTGTCCCTTAATTAACATGTCTGTTGTCATTACCAGGTGTTACTGTGAGATGTAGCATTAACTGTGGGTGATGTTGTCCCTTAATTAACATGTCTGTTGTCATTACCAGGTGTTACTGTGAGATGTAACTTTAACTATGGGTGATATTGTCCCTTAATTAACTTGTCTGTTGTCGTTACCAGGTGTTACTGGGAGATGTAACATTAACTATGGGTGATATTGTCCCTTAATTAACATGTTTGTTGTTGTTACCAGGTGTTGCTGTGAGATGTAACATTAACTGTGGGTGAGATTGTCCCTTAATTAACATGTTGGATGTTGTTACCAGGTGTTACTGTGAGATGTAACATTAACTGTGGGTGATATTGTCCCTTAATGAACATGTTGGTTGTTGTTACCAGGTGTTACTGTGATATGTAACATTAAATGTGGGTGAGATTGTCCCTTAATTAACGTGTTGGTTGTCATTACGAGGTGTTACTGTGAGATGTAACATTAAATGTGGGTGAGATTGTCCCTTAATTAACGTGTTGGTTGTTGTTACCAGGTGTTACTGTGAGATGTAACATTAACTGTGGGTGA